TTTGTTTTTTTTTGTTATAACGGCGGTTTTCAAAAAAATCATATTTTTTGTGTTTTAATTGTGTTATAAGAATATAATTCCTTCCTAAGGAGGGGCCTATGTCCAGCAGTGGACTATTAAAGGTTGTTGATGAAATAAAAATTTTGAAAGTGTTCTAGACTTCTACAAAAACATTATTTTCAGGTTTATAGGTACAAATAAGCCTGAAAATAGTTACATTTTTTTTTGTTACTTATTGCCTAAACCATCTGTTTTCGTTGGTTAGGAAAAAACATTTATATTGTTCTGTATACATTAATTACATTTGATACGCTAGGACTTAAAGAGGTTGCGACCTGTGTCTAAAATCTTTTCTAAGAAGACTTCGTATTATCTTGTTTTCTTTTTCCTTGGAGGTATAAAAAACTATATGAACTTTGTTGAAAATGGGGTAACTGTATCTTCCATATAAAATATACCTCAATTTACTTATAATTATTTTCGTCGGCTTAAGCTCTCTGAAAACAACGTATCCGTAATACATTACTTTCTTTCTCGTGGGATCGAAAAATACACGAAAATATTTATCAGGCTAATATGGCTTCTGGCAATTTCCTCAGTATGTCGTATTCTACTTAATTCTAATACATTTCGCTATACACAGAGGAATAATACATACGTACAAATCTAATTAAAATAATACCCATCAGGCATAGGGATATATCTTATGTCTATGTCGTGAAAGTTAAATATGTGCATATGAAATAGAGTTTACTGGTACATTATGAGTTTTCTGTCAATAAACATAATTTAGCGTCAGTTGAAAATAATTTCTTAATGCTGAACTATATTTTGAAATAGGAACACACGTAACTGTTATGGAGTCATCCAGTTTTAAGCATGTGTAGAATTCCAAAGCGTATCAAAAAATTCTATCTGTACACTCCTCGGAAGAAATAATAAAAATAATAGGCTATCCTACCAAATTACAGCAGGTTTCCTCTACAAAAAACACGTATTTTTATACAAACTTTTGAGTGATTTCTTCGGTCTGCTTAATCCTGTTCGGTCGCAAAACCCGCTTTAAGCCCAAAATATCATAACTCCCTGCCTGATGTGTAGTCTTAAATACAAAAAATATTGCCTATCACACAAACTTCCGAGAGTCCTTATACCTTCTCTAACAGGCGCGATCTAAATCCGGGCCTGTTACAAAATCCCTTCCCAACTGACATGTAGGATACGTCAGTTAGGAAGGGATTTCCCTGTCAAATTTTATCTGCATATGTCATAAATGATATTCTTTATTCGTTTTAGTAGCTTAGATAAGTATAAGTGAGTATCTTTTCCCTTAGATATTTTTGTTGTTTTTATACATAAAATTCAAAATTGTGTAGGCAGTTTTAACAATATTTTTTTAGATTTCTTTATATATTTGTTAGTTAGAAGTTCACCTAAACTCAATGTATAAGTTAAAATAACATATTTATACGTACATGTTACCAATGTTGTTTATTTAATCCATTACTGAGTAATAGGAACGCTCACGTCTCCTCAAATAACTGTTGTTTCATCTGATCATGTCACTATTTTTTATACGCTCTTCTCAAATCTTCTTTGTAATAACTAATTTCGTATGATATTACTTTTTTATGTAATGTTTTTGGTTATACTGAAGTTAAGTAATTGAATTGCCTGTTGGTCTAGTGCTTAGTGACCTTCACTGCTGAGTCAGAGGTCGAGGGTTCGATTTACACATAGGTCAAATAATTGTGTGATGAAGGTGATCATTTGTTCTATCATCATCATCATCAACAGCCTGTAAAAGTCCACTGACATAGGCCTCTCCTTAGAAAGGAGGTTTGTTCTGTCTGGTTATTATCGTACAGGGTCTGCCTATTTGAGATTAAACTGCCGTGTGTGAGATGTGTAAACCTTTTTTTTTAACGTAAGTCAAAGAACTTGTTTTATAAGAACTATAATACTCAGAACTTTCAATATGAACTACAATAGTTATCATCTTTAAAAAAAGTATTATTTACTTAGAGAGCCTAACTTATGTAATTGTAATAAGCTGTAGTCTTCATCCTTGAACTTTCGGCCCTTGCAGATGGTACGATTTCGTCATATTTAACTAGGTCTAACCTTGAGTAGAGCCAATTAAGAAATAAATTATTGAAATCGTTTCATAAAGTAAACATACACACTAACAAAATATTCGGCGCATCACTAGATATGATGACCACTTTCGATTGCAGCGTGTCATAAATAGTATATAGCAGAAAAATTCCTTCTAATTCTATCTCTTTTCTGGGCGGCAACGCTGTCCATGTTCCAGTACGTCGGGGTACCAGGGAATTCATTTCTAGGGTACACCTGGTTCCCCTGCAACTGGTACCCGAGACGACTTGCGGTTTTTGATCGGTTCCGGTGGGAGGTATCCGAGGATATTTCCGCTCAAAAAAAAAACAAAAAAAAAGGTGTCCATTGGCGACGGTAGTCCCTTCACTTGATCAAGTGACCTGTCTGCTTGTTTTTCCCTATGCCAAAAAAAAATCAGTAAACAAGGCGACTAAAAAGCTTAGGTAAGGTGAGCCGGTTAGTGTCCGCCTCACACTCGACGAAGCGTACAGATATATTGAACTCCAGGTGTGTCAATGGCGCGTAACCGATCCTCTCACGACCCTTTTATGGTCTATTAGAAGATACACATTCGGGACTATTGGTAAAAAGGAAAAAAAATATGGAAAACTTTGACCCGTGAGGTCACTTCACATTTTACGTACGCAAGATTTCATTCAATAAGCATAAAAGAGCGAGTCTACGGTTACTTAAAAAAAATTTTTAGTAGACTAGACAAAAAAATGCCACTAAAGCATTTTTTTTGGTATTAATGTTGAACGAACCTTAGCCCTTTGTAGAATACGTCTGTTTTAGAGAACAATATAACATTTCTATTATCTTATGTTTTTTATGATATAAAGGCATACATTTATAGTATACATTTTTTAGTTCTCTGCACTTTTTCTACCTACTAATATTTAAACATTAAATATTGCAAATATGATGTGTTCGTGCGCTGTATTTAAAAGAAAAAGTAGGTACAATATTTTTCTTTACGTATTTATATCTAGATAGATACTTTTTATTAATACATAAAAACATTGAAATTAAAATTTTCTGGATTTGGAACTATATTTAGGTTAGTAAAAATAGATATACTCGTACATACAGATATCAAATTACAGAGCTTAAAGAAATCATTGAATTGAGAATATTTTCCTGTTTGGGAGTCGGTTACAAATTAAATTACGCATGAATGAAGCAAACAATTCTTCTGATTCGAATTTCGAAATGTAAGCCTTTTATTAATACCGTGCTCACGTTTCACCTATATTGAGTGATAAGGTATTTTACAAAAAAATTGGAAATAAGACCGTCTTTTTTTACTAAGATTTGAAAAGTCAATTTATTGCGTAAATATTTAGTATCATCTTGCATTTATTATATTAATAGAATTCTTTAAATTTAACCATGTGTAGTTTTTGTGCGACTAGTTAGTTGTTTAACTCACTATTCCACTTGTTGGTTTGCGTGTCGTCTGTATAATAATAATAATATATCGCTTTAATGTACACCAGGTATAAATATACAATAATTAACTTAAATTCGTTAGACAAGTACTAATGGGTACCTTATCGCTCAGGGGTTATATATCAGTATATCAGTAGGTATACCTAAGAGTTAGCTAAAATGAACTTGACGATTTCTGAAGATTGTCAATTCGAATTTGTCAAAATATTGTGTAGACTATGATAAAAGTTCTTTCATTAATGAAAGAAGGCTACAAGGACCGAATATTTTACTATTTGTTTATTGAACATTATACACAAAAATGCATTGGCGGACATAAAACCTGAGGCATTCTCCACAGGTAGTTGCACTAAAAATATATACATACTAGCTTTTGCCAGCGACTTCGTAAAGGATACGCTTCTACCAAAAATAACCAAGTTTCATATAAGTTTCTAACCCCCATTTTGCACCTTTAACATTGGAATTATTAAAGGTATACCCTAGAAAGGAAGTCCCTCGTGCCCCGACATACCTCGGGCCATCTACAGATCAGTAGACGACCCCCCCCCGTGTGAGAACCCCATGTTCCCTCTGCTCCCTGGAAGCGAGCGCGCTTCGCAACGCGCTCGCCGCCACCCCGGCCTGCTTCTGCTAGGGTGACAGATGGCCTCACCTGTCACCCCCAGGCCTGCGCTTATGGAGGACGGAGGTCATTCTGCAACCTCCGGCGCCTGAGTTGCCTGCGGTACCTGGCCCGTTCCCGGGCCTGGCAGGCTGGGAGAGTTCTAAACCTCTCCCGGTCCCGCTCCGCCGTCTCCTTCGCGAGCATAACTTGTTCGCAGAAGGAGACGGCAGAGTTCCACGCACTCTCGCTCCGCACGATAGCCGCAATCAGGCTATCGAGCGAGAGAACTCCCACTCCGATGGCCGCCACGAGGTCTCGCCTCTGCTCAACCCACGCCGGGCACTCCGCCAGCGTGTGGAGAGCCGTGTCTACGGTCTGGCCATCGCAGTGGCACCCAGGCGTTGGCTCCTTGCGGATTAGACACAGGTGATCCCCGAAACATCCTTTCACAGTGATCACCTGTATGTTTCTAGACCTAGCGGTTGCAGCTGTGCTTTGATCGATCAGTCTATGGATTAGTCTGTGGATCAGTCTGTCAGTTTCTTTTTTGATATTTATATATATCATCTACATATATAAATATCAAAAAAGAAACTGACAGACTGATATATAAGTTATACAGATATTGTCTATGAACAAACATATACATACATATTATTTAGTACTATAAAACAATATACATATTTTATCTTTTAACCACCACCGCTTTTATTTTTTGTAGTTTTTAAATGAAATTTCTTAAATTGCAATACTTTGGAACAGGTTAAATAAAACAGGTATAAAATACGAACAATTTATTAATAAACAAATTCCATAACTATTACGCTTGTAAAAGGACGCATAGCGCCAGTGTTAGTACCCACGTTATGCAGGTGGATGTTGGTGTACTGCCCTGATGTAACTCCGCTAGGCTTTCACCTGGTAACAAAATAGAAACCGTTTACTTTGGTATAATATCAGTGTTATTGATTAGCTTTATCCGTAACAGTGGTACGTCAAGCGATCTCAGTAGCTAGAAATGTTGGCTTGTCTAAACCGTATAGTCTACACTTTTTTTTTCATTACGGGCTATGTTTGATAAGTTATTGTAAACAATATATTCACCGTGTCTGTTTTCGCGAATTAGTTTCCTATATTTCAGCACTATTGCAAGCGCCATGATCACGGATAAACGCCGTTCATTCATGGTCATGGCGGATCCGAAATCTTAACTTCAACAGCCTTTAAAGTCCACAATTAGATATAGACCTCTCCTTAGAAAAGAGGCTTAAATAACAACTTATCAAGTGAAAATTATAGATAATAGATAAAACGACAATGTAACTTAAGTAAGATCCTGTAAAAGATGAGCCTCTATCAGAAACATTTTGGCACATTTGTAAATGGTAAGCGGTGGACAAGGATAAGAATCAGCAACTCAACTAAACTCCTGTTAAGATATAATTATATACGATAAGGCCGGTTTGTCAAAATTGTATAGAGTAACGTTCGAAGCTTTTTATATCCAATTTAATTTTGTTTTATTGCCATCAAAAGGGGTATCTTTTAGATCCACTAAATTAACTTCAACATCTATTTTAAGGTTGTCTGAAATTGCTTGTATAATTCTGAAATGACTTTCATAGGTCACTAGACGATGAAAAATATATATATTTTTAAAGGCTAATTGCTCCTGTATTGGCAGAAATAATGAGAACCTCCTTTACAAACAATAGATTACCCAGGGATTGGAAACATGCCATAGTGACACCTGTATACAAAAACGGTGATAAGACTGACCCGGCTAAGTTTAGGCCTATAAGCCTCACAAGTGCTATAGGTAAATGTATGGAGAAGATCATATCAAACCATATCAGGTCATTCCTCAACAGACAGAACATTATTTCTGTTAAACAACATGGCTTTGTTGAGGGGAGATCCACGGTAACTAATCTACTAACATGTGTTAACACGTGGGCAAGGGAACTTGATCAAAAAAGAAGTATGGACCTCATTTACTTGGATTTCGAACGTGCTTTTGATAAGGTTCCTCACAATCGACTATTGTTGAAACTTGAGCACTTTGGTATGCGTGGAAATCTCCTACAATGGCTTGAAAACTACCTTGCAAATAGAACATACCAAGTCAGAGTCGGTGACACATTATCTGAGACAATGAAGGTCCTGAGTGGTGTCCCCCAGGGCTCAGTTCTCTCTCCTATCCTGTTCAACATTTTCACTGCAGATTTAATAGCATTAATAGAGTGTGAGTCTTGCTTTTTCGCTGATGATGGAAAGTTCTTTGGTGATCCTGTCATTCGGTCAGGACAACTGCAATCAGATCTGGATAATTTACAAGAGTGGACCAAAGAGTGGATTGCGAAGCTCAATGCATCCAAATGTACAGTATTGCGTCTGGGTAAGAACAACCCTGAAGTACCATACACAATAGGTGACACAATAGTTGCATCTGTCAAGTCGCAAAAAGATCTTGGAGTAATGATAACCAGCAACTTAAAATGGGCTGACCACATCAATATTATAGTTAAAAAGGCAAATTCCTTCCTATATGCTATACGACGTGCATTCCAACACATGACACCTTCAGTTTTCACCAAAATTTATAAAACTTATGTCAGGCCTCTGTTAGAATACGGTTTTCAAATTTGGAATCCCTACCTTGTAAAGGACGTTGACCTGCTGGAAAGTGTGCAAAGGCGAGCAACTAGGATACCGTATGGACTGCGACATAAGACTTACGAGGAACGCTTAAAAGTGTTAAAATTACCGACATTAAAACATCGCAGGATGAGAGGCGATCTTATTGAAACCTATAAAATACTAAGCTCAAGATATAATCTTCCAAATATCAAGGATATGTTCCTCCTCCAGCGCAAGGCGTACTCATCACGGGGACACAGCTTCGCAATAGATCGCTCACACTCACAGTCGCTGGTAGCCTATCACACTTTGAACAATCGTGTTGTTGCGATATGGAACAAGCTTCCGGAAAATGTTGTGACCGTAAAGTCAGTGAACAGTTTTAAGTGCCAACTAGATAAATGGTTAGAAAAGCACAACCCATTGGACTAAACAACCGTTTAATCATGTACACGGGAACTCTTACATCACAAACTTACTCCAGTGCAGTGATGTGGACACATCAGCAAGTTTGCTGCTCGTCCATAATACCCTAATAATAATATCGGCAGGGGAGAGGCCGGCCACCGACCAGCTTGGGATCCCGAGGACTACTGACCTCGAACAGGGTCCCCGCTACCGGTGGTGATGTGCGCCGCATGAAGTGGACAAAGTCTATTAATGAAAATGTCATGCGGGCATATTATCGGGCTACAGAGGTGGGAACGAACCTTACTGCGTACCGTGTTCGACTAGTCTCTTTGTTTCAGGAGCTTGAACCAGCTGTCAACGTATCAGCACAACGATTGTCGGATCAAGTACGAGCTATACAGCGCTGTCATCTGCTGGATGATGCAGTACTTGAGAGGATACGCTCTGACATACGGAATAGCTTAATTATCCCTTCTTCGTCACACACTGTGGATTCGGTAGCCAACAGCACACCTCAGTTGGCATCATATACTGATGATATTGATGAACTAGTGGAGAGTGAAGTTATATCCGTAAGTACCCAATACAATGATAGGATAAGGAGTGCTTTGGAGGATGCGATTCTGGAATACCGATATTTAAATTGCAATGATAGGCCCCGGTTATTCCGTTTGCCCATTCATAAACGAAATTTAGCGCTGGTGGGTGCCCTGGATTCGTTATTGCCTGAATATTTAGATAATAGCGAAGATCTTAGTGATACACATTCTATTCTACATTGTGCGGCTATTGCAGTTTGTCGAGTAGCTGGTGTTAAAATAGCTAACAATGTCACTACTACTCGACCTAAATCTACTGTACCAGCTTGGCAGTATAGAATTGAACGTCGTATTACTGAGACCAGGACACTCATCGGTAAGCTTATTAGCTACCGATCAGGGAATATGCGGCCGAGAGTGATGCGCTTTGTGAAACAGGCATTCTTGGGGACTACCATTAGTCCTCAGCAGTACATGTCATGTGTCACAGAGCGCATAGACTTTCTAAAGCAGAAAATTTATGCATGGGCAAATAGGATAAGACGGTATAAAAAACGAATAGATCGGTATAATCAGAATCGGATGTTCCAAAGAAATGAGAAGTGGGTGTACCGGAAATGGGAGGAACCGGATCCATGTGTGGGTGATAGGCATTTGCCAGATGAAAATGTCACAAATACATTTTGGCGTAACATCTGGTCGGTGCCTGTCACTCATATAGAAGGTGATTGGTTGCAGGATGTCAGACGCTCATGTGAGTCTATAACACCTATGGAACCTGTTAAAATTGATAAAGATGATGTAAGTTGTGCAGTTCGTTCATTACCGAATTGGAAATCACCTGGTCCAGACGGACTGCACAACTTTTGGCTTAAGTGGTTCCGAAGCTCACATGCGCGTTTGGCATCTCAATTCCAGGCAGCTTTGGATTCGGGTTCATTACCCCAATTTTTAACCACTGGCATAACCCACTTACTCTATAAGTCTGGTAGTGTCATGGATCCCAAAAATTTTCGACCTATTACATGTTTACCTACCATGTATAAACTTCTAACATCTATTCTGAGACTCAAAATTACTTTACATATTAATAATAATTCGATTATGTCAGTTTCTCAGAATGGATGTAGAAGTGGGACCCGTGGCACTAAAGACCTCCTTATCATAGACATGACCATTAGCCAACAGGTACGTTGTAATCGTAAGAGTTTGGCGACGTGTTGGATAGATTATAAGAAGGCTTATGACTCGGTTCCACACACATGGCTTTTGAAGGTGCTGGAGTTGTATAAAATTGATACAACTCTGTGCACTTTCTTGAAGTCATGTATGGGGCAATGGAGAACGGCACTTCGCTATCCAGGATGTCGGCAGACAGCGATACACGATGTACTAATAAAGATCGAGCGGGGTATATTTCAAGGTGATAGTCTGAGTCCCTTGTGGTTTTGTCTGGCTTTGAACCCTCTTAGCACTTTATTAGAGGGTTCAGGGTTAGGCTATAGGTTGCAGAAAGATGATCAAGTTATATCTCACCTTCTTTATATGGATGATTTGAAACTGTTAGCCTCCAACAAATTACAATTGACAAAGTTACTAAAGGTGACGGAAAACTTTAGTAATTCTATCAAAATGGAATTTGGTGTAGACAAGTGTGCAGTCATGTATGTAAAGAAGGGTGTGATAGTTGAATCTGAAGGAATAGAGCTTTTGGATTCAACAAAACTCAGATCTCTGTCTGCCACTGAAACTTACAAGTATCTGGGTATATCACAGTCGTTGGGAATACCAGAATCTAACATGAAACAAACATTGCAGGAACGCTTTTTTGGCCGCTTGAAAAAAGTACTTAAAAGTCTTTTATCAGGGGGCAACAAGGTGCGAGCCTGCAATGGTTGGGTCATGCCGGTTCTAATGTATTCCTTTGGTATACTTAGATGGACTCAGACCGAATTAGATGCCCTTGACAGGAAAGTCCGCACACTGCTGACTGCATCCCGAATGCACCACCCACGTTCATCAGTTATGAGATTGTATATCCCGCGAAAGCTTGGGGGTCGCGGTCTATTAAATATCAAGACCCTACATAATCGCGAGGTATGCAATCTCAGAGAATATTTTCTACATACCGACGTGGGAGTGCATCGCAATGTAGTTGCAGTGGATACCGGCTTCACCCCGCTCGCTCTGGCTAAAGAGAATTGGCGCAGACCTGTAGTACTTGGTGTTAATGATCACAGGGAAGTATGGAAGGGCAAAGAGCTCCATGGTCGGTTTTATCGGGCCCTAAACGGGTCCGATATAGATTTAAAAGCATCTACGACTTGGCTACGGCATGGTGATCTCTTTGGAGAAACTGAAGGTTTTGTTTGTGCGATTATGGACGAAGTTATCATGACGAATAACTATCGGAAATATATCCTGAAAGATGGTACGGTTGACATCTGTCGGGCATGCCACCGTCCTGGCGAATCAATCAGGCATATTATTTCTGGTTGTTCTCGTCTTGCTAACGGAGAATATTTGCACAGGCACAACCAAGAAGCCAGGATCGTACACCAACAGCTTGCCCTTAAATACCATCTTGTGAATCTAGAGGTGCCATACTATAGGTATGTGCCCGACCCAGTTTTCGAGAATGGTCGGGCCACGTTGTATTGGGATCGATCTATTATCACAGACAGGACTATTGTTGCCAATAAGCCTGATATTGTGTTGATAGATCGATTAGAGCGCCGCGCAATGATTGTTGATATCGAGAATGATTGACGAGAATCTCGTGAAAGTTGAAAAAGAAAAACAAATTAAATATTTGGATTTATCTCACGAGATTGTCGATATGTGGAATGTTGATTCAGTGATCATTGTTCCGATAGTCGTATCTGCTCATGGATTGATAGCCAAGAGCCTCGACCAACACCTTAAGAGGCTCACGTTGGATGGCTGGATCAAGGGTCTGATGCAGAAGGCAGTCCTCCTTGACACGGCTCGTATAGTGAGGAGGTTCCTATCTTTGGAGTCCTAACCACCGGTGTCTTGGTCCCTGTACCCGATGTCGGTGGTCTACTATTTTTTATATTTTTAAATGTATTTTTTTATAAAGTGTATATTTAAAAATGTAAATAATATGTATATAAAGTAAATAAAGAGAATAATAATAATAATAATTGGAGTAGCATTTGATTTTCTACAGCGAACATCTTATTTATGTATTTGAACCTTAATTAGAGTATTTTGTATAAGTATTTGAAACCAAAATCCCAAATATAAAGTTATTTTCTTGTTGCTAAAACATAGCTTTACCTTTTATAACATGTAATGTAACATGCGCAGGCGGCGGGGATGGAGTCGTTGCTCGTGCGACTGCGCAGGTGTATCGGCCGGCGTCATCGCCACGTACCCGCGCCACTCGTAGCACTGAATTCGCCCCGTTAGAGCCGAACTCGGTTCGGACACTATAAAAGGATTGAGTTTCAAATTGGGAACGAATATTTCATTTCTAAAGATTTTACCAAGATTTCAGGCACTAGAATGGAACTGTGTTAGTTTAGGTATGACGCCAATTCGTTAGTACCATTTCAGAATTAGTTAGAACTTTGCAGTTTCTTTACATTTATCATGCCTCGCTTAATCGATGTACACCAAAATAATAAACATGTATATTATATTTTTTATGACGTTTATTACATACCTTATTCCTCCTCTCGTGGTGTCATCATTAAGAAGGTCGTCCTTCCGATACCAAAGTAGTGAAGGACCGCCTTCCATTCTCAGTCCGTTTACTTCACACCTCAGCGCGACTGTACTGCCAAGCTCGCACACTTGCTCAGACACTTCTGCGCCCGCGCCGTCTACGATGCGCACTGATACTTCTACACAAAGTGGTAATATTACATTTACATGGAAATACAAAGAATAGATTTAATTAAAACAATTACTAGAATTAAAACTGGCAAAGTTGAAATTTAATCAAATAAAATACTTATGATATCATTCAAAACGAAATTAAACTCTCTTTGACACTGAACATACGGTTGGCTGTCTAAGGTTCAGTAAAATGTGGTTATTGTAAAAAGAATAACCTAAACTAATCTAACCTCAAGTGGGTAAGAACCATATTCTATCAGTTCATAAGTGTATAGTAATATATAATATATATTTCATCAACACATTAAAGAAAATATTTAGGAATCAAGAAATCGTATAGAAAACAATTTTATAAAGTTAGCGAGTTAAATCAAAGTAATTTCTGTATGACTTTCCTATAGCATCAAAGAAAAACAAAAACCCAACATATACTTGAAAAGAACAATTTGTCAACTTAAGCCATTTATTTTAAACAACGCCACACTTCATTCCTCATTTTTCCTTCCAATAAACAACTTTGAATTCAATTGATGTTTGGCAGGGTTTTATAAAACTTTAGAACGGGAGTTGATACTCAAAGTTCGAAAGTATCTCTCAATGTAGTTCTTACTATTACTATATTATAAACCATTGAAATAATTTTATCTAAATGGTCACTTAGTCAACGTTCTTAAGGATACAAAACTTCATACTATCACAGTTTACGATCACAATTTTAAGAAAGGGATTTATGATTTCTCATCATGATTCACATCACATCACATCAACAGCCTTTAACAGTCCACTGCTGGACATAGGCCTCTCCTTAGAAAGGAGGTTTTGGCCTACTATACCACGCTGGCCAGACGGGTTGGTATAGGGTTTGTGTATAGTTTTCCTTCTCTCTGCAGTGCTGTTGTCCTGCGTATTTCGCTCCCTTAGTCGCCTTTTACGACACCCACGGGATGAATAGGGGTGGTGACACTCTGTATTCTTAATCCGTCACCACACGTCATCATGATTAATCATCATCAACAGTCTTTAATAATACACTGCTGGACATAAGCCTCTCCTTAGAAAGGAGGTTTTGGCCTATACTAGACTATTCCACGCTGGCTAGGGTTTTTTTCAAGTTTTCCTTCTCTTTACAGTGCCGTTGTCCTGCGTTGTTTTGCTCTTACGACACCCACGGGATGAAGGGGGTGGAAAAACTGAAATCTTTGTGGAGATACCGCGCTGCCAAGACGGGTTGGTATAGGATTTTTTTTCAAGTTTTCTTTATCTTGGCAGTGCTGTAATTGTCCTGCGTGGTTTGCTCTCTTAGTCGACTCTTACGACACCTACGGGATAAATAGGGGTGGTATTCACTCCGTATTCTTAATCCGTCACCACACGGATTTGTCTGTCACCACACCGAGTGGTCGCTCATATAATTGAACTAATGTAATAATTTATCTAATAATATTGCTTTGAACTCTTTTTAATCATTACCTGGTACCCTAAGTGTTACTCTCGCTGTACGAGGTGGATGGGCAGATAGCTGGCAGTCATAAAAAGCGGCATCTGCTGGACGCACTTCCCTCACTTCCAGTCTCCAAATGTCTGGTGGTATGAAGCGGGCTGAGTACCTAGTAATATAGAAATGTGTTATATCCAAAACAAATCCAAACCTATAAATTTAATATTTCACACACTCATATACACATATACACACACATAATCTTTCCACATACTTTATTTATACATAACGCTTAGTTCTGGTATAACTAAATGGGAAAGCATTTCCTATCACAGACCTTGAGCAAAAATTTTGAACCAAAGCCTTGTAATCTTAATGTAATCGTCTCTATTTTGAGCCGACCAGATACGACACCCAGTAGATAGATGACCTTTTTCAAGGAGTATGACGACCGTTCACGTCTGCACTGAACTGGTACCATCTCGTGCTTTCTAGTGCTTACTGTCATTTTTCGATATCACAACAGTAAAGTTCGCTTCACCCCTTGAGTTTAAACAAAAGCAACGTATTATTTTCAATTGACATAACGACGTGACTATCCTAATAAGTAGCGACAAATCATTCATCTCCGCCAGAATTTTTTTACAACAGAAATAGGATCTACATTTTAACTCTACAGTATGCCCATGACTATATCATTATGGTCATAACATTTTGTTCCTAGGATGTGTTCCAAGGGCTACACCTAGAAGATATCTTGCTATTGAAATCTACTCTCTGGATCATTTAATTGTTAGACTTTGAAACATACAAAATTAAAATACGTGAAGATAACATCAAAATTTGTCGTTACATATCCTACCACATTTAACAGGTGGCTCAGAATACTCGCCTGAAGGTATTTGTACATAATTTTGTATACTTAGCAAAGAGAGGCTTCTTGTTCCAAAGAAGTTAAAGTACCCAGTTATTTATATTTCGTTTCTCTTGACTTTAACAAAGTTTATCCAACAGCAATATTTATAAAACTTTCTTCAACTTGTCAAGATAATTGAGTGCAGTAGGATATGTGGACACGCTTTTTTTATTATCTCCTTTTACTATTACCTGTCATCTGCTGTATACTGCTGTGTACCAGTAGTCAGTAGTTCCATAGGCTGCTCGTCGTTTTTTCGTCGTACCCATGAGACCTAAGCAAATAAATTCGTACTTGTCACGATATTTACAAAATTAGTTTTTGTTACATGACTGCAAAAAAATAAAATGACAATGGTTTATTTTGATGTCAATGAAAACAATTAAAGTAAAGTATATAATAAGCAAATGAATTTGTAACAAGAAACATACTTATTACCAGTTTATCATGAAGAGCGTCCACCTTGCAGTCTAAGTGCGCTGTAGATCCCACTAAAGCTTCTATCTCGGGAGCAGCCGCTGCATAAATGCTATTTCCATTCCCAGCCCTAGTCAAAGAGAATTTGTAAGTATACCTATTGGAATTCGAAATATTTATTTGAAGAACTTTATTCGAGAATCTTAAAGATGCTTTCAAAGTTCCCAACTCAAATGTTTACCTTAAATCTGTTTACCAAATCATTTAATAATTTCGAATTTGGCACATTTTTCCGCTATAATAAGAAAAATAAATGAACTAAATTAGGTTCAGGAAGTTCTCTTTGAATGGAAACGTTTCAAGTAATTCATTTTAAATTTTATATTCGTAAAGTTATTTATACATTTAATTTTCGTAATATTATTCATTACAGTAGGTTCTCCGCAAAGCTAACAAATTGAATTAATTTCAATACTCTCGTTCTGCTAAACCGTTAGACGGGGGCAAATAACATTGAGTTATAAAATGGCTGCCAAACATTGACTTTGCTTCATCAATGCTATTGTCATCATATTCATGATAAAATAAAGTAAACTAAATTGTTTGGTTATTGGTTTGCTTGAGTTTGATATTAAAATGTTTATTTATTGCCACTTTGTAAGCATATAACTAAAAAGATAGATAACTAGATAACTTTAAAATTTTCGAGTTAAATTCAATTAAGAAATTAACGCAACTACGTACTTTATAGGTATTACATACTTTTGAATTGCCGTTTTGACCAGTTTGCATCGTACATGGTATTACAGTATTGTGTGCACTGCGGTACCGAATCAGTGAGGTAAAAGTTGCTACATCAAAATGCACATTTTCGATTTGAAGGTGTATGAATCATTTTCCGAACATTTTCGACTTTATTATTTTAAATAGTAACCGATTGTTATTTTTTCAAATATGATAACAAAGAGAAAAACATAATATACTTACTTTTCATTCCTGTGTTGGTGTGTGTTGGAAGAATGAATCGTGTCAAAAATATAATTTAATAGCGGCGCACTTGATCCTGTCTCTCCTGGCTTACGTCGCCTCTCCATCACCAATGGTGGTGGACTCGACAACTCGGATAACGTGGTACCTTCCATGTACATTATAGTTTCACTAGTGGATGCTTCTTCATTCGTTCGTATTACCTTCACAACCCTTCTTTTCCTATTCTTTTTGTCGTCAAGTCGATTTACTTTATTTATGATAACTTCAACACTCTTGTTTATCAAACTTACATTGTTCTTAGTAACTATTTTATCAATATTTGGACAACACTTAATATAATTCTTATCTTCGCGTGTGGAATACTTGAGATTGTTGTACAAGTTAAAACTATGCGTTAGATTAACACTAGAGTAATTAAAGTTTCCAACAAGTTCGCTTTGATTATGTAAGTCAGAGTTAGTATGTAACATTTGATAGAGTTTGTTGATCGTTGGTTGGGAGCCAGTCTCCTGAAAATTGTTGGTCTCGTTCAATATCCTTGAGACGACGTCGGCATCAGTTCCTGGAAATGGAAATGTAAATTTTATAATGTAAACAATTAACTATTTGGTTCTAAAATATCTGCGTACTGTTCGTTTGAACGTAAACTGAACATTTCTATTTAATGAATATTTTTGTTACAAAAGGTATTTTTAAATAATCATCTAAATCTCACAGTAATTTGGTATCTTCCGTTGATTATTAAAACGTAGGCAAAGAGAATTTTGATTCTTGAATTTTTAACATTTTATATGTTTTTCTATTGCATGGTTAGCTATTTTCAATGGACAAGAAGAACATACAACTTTCACCAGTAGCAGTCTTATATCACAGGTCTGAAAGGACTTTCCACTGTTGGTGACCGTCACACTAAAAATATATGTTTTAATGAATGCCAAATGAAACATTAATCTTAACAGTCTGGAGACCGTTTACGTGGCTTTAAGTGTAGTATAACTCTTTTTAAAAACCTTTCGGTGGTGAAACTTTTATAGATACACACTATATATTAATGTACATATATATTAAGTAACTTCTCTACAAGAAAATTTCCGCTTCGTTTATTTAAAATCTCTATAAGAATTAAAATATAAGCATCTCTCTTACGAACACAAGTTAAAAGCTTTCAGGAATTTGCAATTTAATTTGTGAGATACTCGTAAGGAAAACATTTTTAAATGGTCCACAGCTTAAGAAAATGGACTTTTGGGGAAAACTTTAAGCCAAAGTGCGTAGGTAATCATCTTTGGGCTTACTCTCGAAAAAACCTTTAAGGAATATTTCTCAATATATAGGTTTAATGAAATAGGAAGTAGACATATCATTAATGTTTCTTTAACAACATGAAAAGTAATTTACGCCCTAAAACCTTTTGGTATCATAGTTACAGAGGAAACGACAATGACGCGAATAGACCTTATACAACTAGAAATAATGAAGTTTATCGATGTGGAGGACACCGCCATCTAGAATCGACGCAAGTACATATATTAAGATTGTGGTTAATACTAGTAGTGATATGATACTTCCAGCGCTAGATGGCGCTGCAAGTAACGCGTGACTGAATTTGGAAAGATCGTGTTTGTTTGACACGGACTGTCGAATACTAGGAACTTTCTAGTAAAATTCAAAACCGCAATAAAAGCGGAAAATGTTGGCGCGAGCGTTCGAGACAGTTCCGTTTTACGACACAGCGAATGAATATCGGAGTGAATTTCTAGTGCGCCTAAAAAGATATATAGTGAGTGTTTGTAAATACAGTAAAATAAAGTAATTAACTGAAAACTTTTATTTATTATATACCCCGCTCGTAACAATTTGGTATCAGAAGGGGGATAAAAGTATGCCGGTTTTACCCAAAGAAGACACGGAAGGCATCAGGCAGGTACGAGAAGCTAGCGCCAGCAAGAGGCTGGCGATTTGGAGGTGCACAACTCCCTACGTAGGAGGCTCTAGATATCACGGCCCTAATGATGATGCTCCAGGAGCAAGCCCGCCGTCAGGAGAAGCAGGCCCGCCGCTTAGAAGAACAGCTGTAGCGGGACAAGGAGGAGCAGGCCCGCCGTCAGGAGGAGTAGGCCCATCGCTCGGAAGAGCAGCGAGACAGTTTCGTTTTATACCCTACCCTACCCGTTTTATACCCTATAATTATATACCCCGCTCGTAACATTATCATATCAATTCCAAAAGAAATGAGACTCAGGCTTGTATGTCTACAAATGTCTGTATTTAAAATACTACGTTGACATAACAGGTAATATAATTCTTACCTCGACAAGGTAGAGCAGCTAGAGCCGCGAGCAACAGCGCCGCAGTGGCCGGCGCGCACATCGTTCCTACATCCTCATTGACGCTGTAACAATACAGAAAAATACTTATATCAAATGTGAGCGGCAAAGAGTAGAAGGGATAGACTAAAGACAACATGTTACTATTCGTATTTATTTTAAAGCATTTTTCGTCATCAATCGATATCGATATCAAAATTTTGGCATAACTTTCAATAGCTCCTCTTGGATTGGTTTTTCGTATGTGGGTGTGAAAACGGAAATAACATACACAGTCCGTATATGAAGCTCTACTTGGTTTAGTCATTCAGTACCTAGATGAAAGTTGCAGAAATTTTAAATATAAATGATGATTATGAGTCTCAATTTACTGCCTCGGAAGCGCAGTGGTAGCGTAAGCGACTGCTGTGTTGAGGTCTCGGATTCGAGTCCCGGGTCGGATCTAATGTTTGTATGATCTTCAAACACTTGTTTTGGAGTTTGGGTGTTTACTTTGTATAATTTGTATGTATTTACTAAGAAATAAATTTAAGGATTCTATCAGTCAATCTAGCTTTCATAGTACAAGCTCTGCTTAGTTTGAAACTAGATAGCGTTGGGTGTCGGATGTTCGAATTTTTATATTATAAACATAAGAATTTTTTATCGTGAAATAAAAGTTGAAGATTTTAAAATAGGGTAAAAGCTTTATATGTAAGGTACTTTATATACGCCGTAGAAGTCGCGCGCACAGCTACAGTACCTACTAATTATCTCACATATTTAGATATCACGGCATATACTTCTGTAAAAAATCACCAGATTTTGGACCCATTAGAATGTTACTATATTTTAAATCTCGCATTTTATCATCATCATCGTCATCAGCCTATTGCAGTCCACTTCTGGACATAGGCCTCTCCCATTGCACGACACTTAGATGAATTTAAGGCTTCTCGCATTCAGCTCCTGCCAGCCATATTGCGCAAATCGTCACTCCACCTGGCCTGCGGCCTGCGGGACGCGGTCTCCAAAAGCCCCTTCGTCTTAAGGAACTGTGGGACCGACGGTGAGAAGACTTGACGTAGCTTCCCAAACGCTGCCCAACCCAACTGAATACTTCTTTCACCTCGTCCTCAAAGTCGTTTTTACCTAACTACAATGTCTGCCCGAGGTACGAGGCCCTACAATGTCTGCACATAATTTTAAACAACCTCGAGATCGGCACGGTGTACCGCAATCGATTCTCGTAGTACATGTTCATTGAACATGACCTTGGTTTTATCCAAGTTCATCCGTAGGCCGAGGCGTATAGAGTCAGCTAGCTAGCAACACTTATATATCACTACAATCATTACTTGATAAAGTTATTTGTTTTAGCATATAACATTTATTTTAAATAAAATATGTTAAGTTCATAAAGTATATAACAAATAAAGATAGATCATAGTTTAAAATTATATTTTTACTATACATACGAGTAGAAGAGATCAAATAGAATGAGATTAGTTCAATATGAAATATAAAGAATTATCTAATTTAATGGTTTTTATTTTATCAAGCTGTTCATATTTCAAATGCTTTTTCTTCAATTGTAAGTGAAATATTTAGTGTATATGTATGTATGTAAATGTGTATGTTGGAAACTGTTTTTCACTGAAACATCTGAATTAATTTGTGTAAAATTTTACGTTAGAGTGTGTACATGCAGAGATGAGTTTTTATTTTCTTTGTAATTTACTTCATTTATTCATAACATAGTTTTACTTTATTAGTTAGATTGCCATATAATGCGTGTAATACTTCGCGGTATATATTTTAAGCTAATGAAGACGTTTACACAATAAAGTTTTTTAATATTAGATTTAAACTTTTGAAATATTAGCACAATATGAACCTACGTAGGTTACGATCAAGATAAACAAGTAATATTAAGTTTCAGAGCAAGATAAATAACGTTTACTTCGCTCTTTGATTGAGAGAGATTGCTTTTGAGAAGAGAATTTCATATTCATCTATATACATAACTATGGAACTATAATGTAACTAATAAGCGTTGTTCATGGGGTTAATTACGTGTATGATACTCGTACTTATATACGGCGAGTAACGGGTCATCAACAGCCTTTAATAGTCCACTGCTGGACATAGGCCTGTACTTAGAAAGGAGGTTTTGGTACCTACTATACCACGCTGGCCAGACAGGTTGGTATAGAGTTTATGTCAAGTTTTCCTTCTCTTTTGCAGTAACGGGTATTTAGCGATAATAAGGCACTAAATTGACGGGGGCGATGATCTTCGTGACGTTAAGATTCACGTGAGTGGAATTACTGGGAGGTGACAGTAATGTTTGAAATAACTGGCCAGACGCATTCTTAGAGAAACTATAGAGCAGTTCAGAACCAGAACTGTATAGAGGTTTTTTTTTATGCAAGCAAGGGCAAACGAGCAGACGGGTCACCTGATGCAAAGTGAGGGAACACCCATGAACGTTTGCAACTCAGGAGTCACAACGCAGTCAGACGGTGAGCATTAGGCTGAGCAGTAAATTTTGACAATTTACCTTTCATGTGTAGGTATACCGCAGAAGTCCAAAAAAATCAGATATTGTTATTTCACGTCCCTTTCAGTTTAAAAAGCATTACAAATTTCCGTTCTGGCTACTCCACATGAGGCAAAACATAATTAAATGAATGTCCTCTGTTAAGTAATACGAATGCTAATGGTAATTTCACCACCAGAAAATTCAGATACTTACTTTTTGTTTAATTTTGGCTGTAGACCTCATTAACGTAACGAATATTCGTTGCTCTTCATTAATATGAGTATATTTATTACATGAGTGCCGGATTAAGGAAAATGGAATAAAGCTTTATGTTAATGAAGTTGTAATTACGAATTTTAGAACCTGGTTTTAGAACATGACGAAAATTTTATGTTGATATTATCTGTAGCTAAGAGCTGAAATAGGTATAAAATTTCTGGATAAAGAGTAAAGTTTTAGTTATGAACTAAAGGCATCACTAAATCTTTAACAATTGACCACAAAATGTTGGTGAAGTAAAATGTGTAAGAGTTTCACGAGGGTAGGAGTGTTAAATCTGGAGACCGTACACATTAAATATAAATATTTTTTTAATGTTTATGTATTTAAATTTTAATGTATTAAATAAGCATTTGCATAAAAGGTCTCTCCATTGGATAGTGTCATGCATATCTATTATCTGTGTAATTACCGGAAACTCAAACCATGAAAATGTTATCGCCCCACGATGTTGTAATTATGCTGTTGATGTGCTTAATATAAATAAATAAATAAATATAAAAGAGAAGTAGAAAGCAAAAAACATTTAAACAATATTTGTCAGACACTCAAAAGTATTATTATATTACGAGTATTTACTTTCATTACAGGTTCGTTACAGGCCTCAAAAGTATTCCACCGAATAGTACAACGAGTGATCATGTACGTATAGAGATAGATAGTTAATACTTTTTTTGTACACCAGGCTTTTATACCAGTATAAAGTAGTTAAATGCACAACAAATGTAATGTACAAAGGGTCTTATCGCTTAGGGCTATCAAGTATATCTTATATTTGTCAGATTTGGAAAAACCAATTCATATTTCTTGTTTGTTTTTCAGTACCTTCATAATATTATGGATTTTTATTCATTACAAACTGATAGATATTGATTAAAACTAGGATAAATAGTTTTAATTTGCCTTGAAATTGTTGTCTTTTATGTTACCTACTATGTGGCAAGATGTACTTTTCTGGTGTAGGTTACAATAGGGAACACATAATATGCAGTATGGACTATGTAAGTATTTCATAGAGACAAAAGAAGCAGACGTCTTAATATCATCTGGCGTCTTAATATTGTGGTAACGGATGAAAAATACAGAATGTCACAACCCCTATTTATCCCGTGGGTGTCGTAAGAGTCTACTAAGAGAGAAAACCTTTAATAGTCCACTTTTGGACATAGGCCTCTCCTTAAAAAGGAGGTTTTAGTCTACAATGGTGGCTGGCCAAACAGGTTGGTAGGTTTTATACTAAATGTTTAAAAAAAGTCTGCTATGAAACAGGAACTATAAATACTACTAAAAATACACACATATTAAAACAATTGTTTTAACTTTAATAAAAGTAAGTGAAACAACAATATATTTAAATGCCGCTCTGTTATCGGAAGCTATTAGTTCAGGAATAATTGCAAACACAAAGTTTAGTCACTAAGTGGATGTACAACAACAGTGTTAATTAAATTGCCACAAGTGCTTTAAAGCTGCACTCCACAGTAGATATGCGAGCCCAAATTGGCCCTTAGAAGTTGGGGTTCTAAAACTTTGGTGGAAGTAAAATTGACTACCTTGAAACTGCGAATAACAGTGGACGGTGGATTACGGTTATAGGGGGCCGGCATTTGACAGTATTCTTGAGAATATTACTGTGGCTGATTATGCGGTTAGATCCTAATCTTTATTTTGAAGTATATATGTTTCGCTTGGAGTTGGCCTAAGTTGTATAGGTGTAATACGTATGTGTGATCTTTTAACATTTTTATTTAATGTTGCCAACAATCAAAATATTATTTAAAGGTTTAAAATTTTATAAAAATTCCTACATATATTTATACCGAGTATACAGTTTGATTAAACTATAGAGGTAGTTGTCCGTGTGGTGACGGATTAAGAATACGGAGAGTCATCAATCTTATTCTTCCCGTGGGTGACGTAAGAGCCGACTAAGGGAGCAAACTACGCAGGACAACAGCACTGCAAACTTGAAACAAACCCTATATCAACCCGTCTGGTGAGCGTGGTATAGTAGGCCACAACCTCCTTTCTAAAGAGAGGCCTATATCCAGCAGTAGACTATTAAAAGGCAATTCAAGTTATACTGGTCAAATAAGTAATACAAGAAATTCAAAAGCTTCGGAGTTGGAGCACCCCGCGATCTCTAGTATATATATCTATTAATATCTGATATGTGCACTGTTTGATAAACTTACAAATAAGTTAAATTGATATCTTCCTTCCAGCCTTTCTTTCAAAACTAGGTTGGATCTGCTTTCAGATACTACGTCATTACCCAAGACCTTCAGACAAGTACAAGACATAACCCAAATACTAGGCGATAGTTTTATTGATAT